AATCAACACCTGTTCAAGGCCTTATTTTTCATATTTTGGACATAACCCATATGATGACAGCATGTATAGGTGCTTGCTAAGAATTGCAGAGATGCTTGGAATGGCTTGTTCATGATACATCTAAATAATATTAAGGATAGAAATTGATGAATTACTACTAATTGTTATTTACATGATATTGATACTGTTAATCTAGGGTTTTTTAATTGAGAATTATGAGGATTTAAAGGCAATATGTTTTGGAAATCTTTGATTTTAGTTAAAGAAGTGGGGATTCAAGAGTTTTACTGCTTTTCACTGAGAAACACTAATGTATTCTTCATTTTGGTTGTTGTTTTTTTTTCATAAAGCTTTTTGGACACTAATATAAATAGACAAGAAGGATCATTTTACATATTAGAATATCAGCTTTACTTATTTTGATAGAAAACAAGAGATGTTGAGGAAAGTATACTTATAGTTGTATGGAGTACTAAAGGCTCTTTTTAGTAGGGTTTTTTTATATTATTGTTAGATATTAGAGCTTCTTTAATCATTATTTCGGGTATAATAGTATTATTGTAAATAAATACATTTTTTTTGTTGACTTACTATTTGGTTTTGTTTTTCTTCCTTTTTTTTCATAACCAACATATTTTTGTTTTTCAATTAAGTCCTTTCATAGTTATCTTGATTAAGAATTGGATTTATAGTTTTATTGAATTATCTTATTATCAGGTTCTCACAGTGTTGAACAAACATCTTAACAGGGGGGTTAATGCTTAGTTTGCAAAAAACAGTTTGGACTTTATATCAGACAAGTTATTGGAAATAAAAAGATTAAAATTGAGCTTGGTTTAAAAAAAAAATTCTTTTTTATAACAAAGAGAAAGCATACATAAAAATCAAGAAAGTAGAGATGACATATAGAGGAAAATAGAGATAAGAAAAATTAATTGTTGAAGACACTCTAATGATGAATAGGTTACACATGTCGTCTTAAAAGAAAACTCATTCTGCCATGATTCCAACTATATAAAAGAATGCATCCTTTTAAATTCATAGAAACTTGAACGCATTACCTTAATAAAACATCTTCTCCTCCACACTAGAGTGTGCGCTGTATGCAGCAAACCCTTCTCTTTTCTCTGTATTCAATTTACTCTTTGAATCTATAATAACTTTTCAATTGAGTCTCAATTTTCATTCTACATGAGAGCAAACCATTTTCTTTCAATTTGGTACCTATTTTTTTAATAACTCTTTAATTTAACTTTGGATTTTGTCCAACCTGGGGCCAATGAAAGCCCATCATAGGAGAAAAAAAGAAAAAGAAAGAGATAGTTGGTTATTAAATATCCTAAAAACAAATATATATATATATATATATATTAATCAAAAAAGAAAAATATTTAAAAATTGAGAAAATTACAATCATGGATGAAATTGAAAGGAAATATTGAGAAAAGGGTTGAGAATGGATAATTGGAAAGCCAATGACTAAAATTTAAGAGGAAGAGAGGTTAGTTAGGGGTGAATTTGAAGAAATTAAGGAAAAATAAGTGAAATTGGATAAAATTTAAAATATAGCAAGCTAAAGATCGAATTGGAAAAAACATCAAAATCCAAGGACCCATTTTAATGCAATTAGGAGTTAAGTTAAGATGAAATTGAGAAAAAAAGAGTGAAAATAGATAAAAATTAAAAATTACAAAGCTAGGTATAAAATTGAAAAGTCATCAAAATTTAAGGATTTGTTGTAATACACAATCTAAATGTGTTTTTTTTTGTTAAGAAAAAGAGTTGTTTGATCTGATACTAGCAAAAGAGAAAGAAAAAGAAAAAAAAATAACAAAGAAAAAACCATTATCATCATCACTATTTTCACCATTCAAAGCAACCACAGTAGCCTCTCCTCACTTGAAAGCACTTTTAAAGGTAAGTTATAACCTCCTTCCTTTTTTGTTTTTTTTTTTTTAAAACATTACTATTTACATTATAAAAAAATAGTTTATGCATGCTTACTCTTCACCAATGCTTTTTAATTTTATTTTATTTTTATTAAAATTTTAGTAGCGTAATCATTATTTATATAAAATTATATTTTTTTTTCTTTTTATGTATGCATTATTAAAAAACTCATATTCGTAGATCAATAATTTTTACTCATGCATTATTTTATTTTATTTTTAATGACTTCACAATAATAATAGTTCCATTTTATAAAATTATGTTGTCTCTTATTCCCGTACAATTGAGTGTAAAAACTTTCATGTTTTAGAAATTAGCAACTTTTACTCATGCATTTTTTTTTATGTTTTTATTTGCTTCACAGAATCATTATATTCATTTCTTAAAAATATTCTATTTCCTTTTTAAGTATACATGTGCATGAAAAAATTCATATTTAAAAATTAGTAACTTTTTAATTATACATATTTTATTTTATTTTATTGGCTTCAAGTAGCATTAGCTTCATTTCATAAAACTATATTGTCTCTTTTTTGCATACATATAAGTGTAAAAAAATTATTTTTAAAAATCAACAACTTTTCATTCATGCAATTTTTTATTTTATTGGCTTCAAGTAGCATTAGCTTCATTTCATAAAACTATATTGTCTCTTTTTTGCATACACATAAATGTAAAAAATTTATTTTTAAAAATCAACAACTTTTCATTCATGCAATTTTTTATTTTATTTTATTTTTAATGGTTTCACAACATTTCATAAAACTATATTGTCTCTTTTTTGCATACACATAAGTGTAAAAAAAATATTTTTAAAAATCAACAACTTTTCATTCATGCAATTTGTTTTATTTTATTATGATTTTATTTTATTTTTAATGGTTTCACAGTGACATGGGTGTCATTTTGTAAAATATTATATCACCTTTCAATGTATGTTTATGTGTTTAAATATTTATTTTTCAAACAATAATAAAATTTGTGTTGAGGAGTTTTGATCAAGTTCGTGTCTTGTTTTGGTCAAAGCTTGATTTTTAATAATTAGGTCAACATCTGTTTTAATTCTTAGGGATGAGCATAGACCTAGCATGATGCCTTTTAAAAACAATTAAAAAAATCTTCAAGTTTTCAAGATTCCTGATTCAAGGTACGTTGTAAGCTTGACAAATATCATTGGCAAATAAATGGTTTGTGAATTACCTTAGAAATAATTTAGACTATTAATGAGATGAACTTCGGAGAAAATATATAGTTAAAATAATATTTTATTTAAAATGGTACATTAAGGGTGATGTTTATATTTTCATAAACATAATCAACCCCTTAGATTTTAGAATGAATACAAATTTTAGAATTCTTAATATTTTAAAAAACTAGACAATGACTTTATTTTTTTATTTTTTTCTTTAATTTTGAAAATCCCAATTTATATTAGGTAGCGATAATAATCATATTTATAATTTAGATTATGAATTTAATGGTTAATCTAAGTTGATTAGAATTAGTTTAATATATCATCAAATTAATATCATATAAAACATTAATATCATATAAAAAATGTTAATATATCATCAAATTAATATCATATAAAAAATTAATATCGACCTTAAAATTATATCAACTTCTATATCATTTAAAAAACTATATATTTTGATGCATGTGTTTCTAAATATACATGTTTATATATATATATATAGTCTTATTTTTTTTAAATATACATGTTTATATATATATATATAGTCTTATTTAAAAAAAAAAAATATTGTAGCAAGTATTAACAAGTTTTGCACTTTTTTGGCATTATGTTAAAAAAATAATCTAACCAGCAGCAAAAATAGAAAAGCTACCTAGTCTTGCAACAAAAAAGAAAAATTCACTTAAAAAAATCATGTCATGAGACTCATAAATATAAATAAAATAAAACATTACAAAAATTATATTAAAGAATAACATGAAAAAAAAAACATGCTTATTCATAATCAATTTAAAAAAAGTATACATCTATATATATAATGTTTTTATAAATTAATCCACAATATTACTATAATAAGATCAGATATTATTTGAAAAGGAAGGCATAATTTTTTTGTCTTTTGAGAATTTTATTATAATGATATTAATGAAAAAGTATTTCATTTTAAAAATAAATAAAAAGACAATTTAAAAAAAAAAAAGTGAGTGGTCATGCTCTCTGGGCCCTGGAAGGTCAAGCCTACATGCTGGCTTTTAAAAGGAGTCATGGAGCCCAAATCTAGAAGACCATGCCTAGATGCTATTCTCTTTTGTTTTTTTGTTTTGGACAAAACCAGGAACATGACAAATTGTTCGCTTGTTTTTTTTTTTTTGGTTTAATTATAGGTGATGACACACCTTTTGCCTAGCACACATTTTGTCTGGTTCAATTTTTCAGCCACCAAATTAGTCTCCAATAACCAGAAAATCAAAGTTTAAGTTTTCGTGCCCAGATTTCTATCATTTTTCATCCCAAAACATGAAAAATAAAATAAACACCTTTTAAACGGGCATTTTAAACTTAATTTTCCACAATAAAATATATTTTATTCGCTTTAAAAACTTAAAATCAAATAAAATATAAAATATTTTTTAAAAATCAATCTATTTTTTACTACATCATTGGAAGTGGAAACAATGTCTATTGATTTTTTTTTTTTAAGAAAAATTTATAAATATAAAAATCAAAGTTATTGATGAGTAGATTTTGGTCACCCAAGAGATTTCATTTTCCTCAACTGTCCCCTCATCTCTCAACTTTCAAGAACTAAAATATGATTTAAAAAAAAAAAGTTTAGAATCAAAATGCAATAATGTAAAACGATGGGGACAAAAGATGGAAAACTGAAACTCGAGGGATTAAATAAATTTTTTATGCAAATTTTGTGAATAAGTCCTCTATTTCTTTTGTTATATCAAACTTAGTCCTTCATCTCTCAATTTGTTTTTAAAAAGAAGCTAAAACTTTATTTAATGAAATTCATCATTAATCTAATATCAAAACATCAAAAAAGATATCAAAAACATGTTTAAGTGCTTAAAACATGAAAACATAACTTCAAATGATGAAATTGACAGAAATTAACAGCAAATTGAAACCATTCCAAAAGAATTGGATTGACCGGCAAGGAAACGGAACAAGAACTGGAAGATGAGCATCGAAGCATTGGAAAAGACACCAGACAGCAGCCCTTTACCTTGGCCTCTAAATTAGCGATGTTTCAGTCTTTGGCTGCATATGACACGTTGACGTTTATCAACTTCAAGCACCATATACCACGCCTAAAGGGTCATGATCGAAAAGCCGGCGAGAAATCTTAGATGGTAGCGTTGATTATTTACAAGCTTCTCGTTGATTGCTTAAGAAGATGAGGAGAGCGAGAGGGGAGAGAGAGAGAGAGGGAAGAAGGGAGGAGAAAACACATTCTTTCATTGATACTTCTTGATGTGTCGACCACCCAAATTACTTGAAAATACACAACCAATGCTGCTCTTTTAGCCCCCCGTGATCAAAAGAAACTGTTAAAAATATGGATTTAAGTCGACGTCCCCATCCCACAAAGGATATATGCTCGCGTAGTTACGATGCTGGGAGGCTTCACAGTTTGGATCGAAGGATGGAGCGAGTGGTGTGCCCAGCATCGACGAGTGCCAGCAGCACCTTTCGGATATCTATGGAAGAGATTCTACCGGTATGGCAGACCAAAAGAAAATTAAAAAAAAAAATAAAGTTAAAAATATTGGGAAAAACACACCCCCACAATTACAACGAACCAGCAGCCACCGTATTGCTCAATTACAAGTATTGTTCATGTATCCTGGCTCGGTTCTCTTCCCACCACACTCTGGCATGCATCTCCCCGAATCTTTCTCGGCTGCAATGCACATGCATATAAAACAAGAATACTCGGTGAATACAGTAGGAACAAGTTTTTTTACTTTTTATTTTTAGAAGAAGAAGAAAAGAAGAAGCAGCATGATTAACTGCGGTCAAAAAAGAAATGTTAGAAGCTTGTATTTTGGACGACTAATGATTCAAGCTGAATGTATACTGTTGTCAGCAATAAAAAAAACAATTAGTGGAAGCAGCATGATTAACTGCTGCCAGTCAATTTTCCTACGGGTTATCAATTCTAGTCATGATTGAGAATAAGCTGGAACTCAATCATTGCCTTTGTATCATGCCCAGACAATTTGCATCGAGTCAACTCAAATCTACTCAAGGGGGTTTTTTCTTACAGCATTCCATGTGGGAGTGCAATGTTTGTTTGTCTCTAAAACATCCCCGTTGTTAAAGGGGAAAATACTGCCAGCTTATGAGAAAACTTATGGCCATCATTTTGATTTTTGAAGTCTGGGCAGATATGTAGTCACTATGGCCATCATTCATGGCAAACTAAAAATTATCAACTAGCTGTGATGCAGCTGACTGATCAAATAGTTCCTACTGCACAGGAAGAGCTTTTACAGAGAAGGTTAGGACTTACAGTTATGTGACATACACTCCATTTTTCTTCCTAGAATTAAAATATCTGTATCTTAAACAAAGAACTATTCATACATGTTTCTCACCTGCCAAAATGATCTGACAGTTTGAAAATAAGAAACATTCATATATGATCAAATGACTCTAGATTCTGGTCAGAAAATTGCAATAATACGAAACCACTATGTCATTGATCAGTTAGTGCAACCAAATTGAAATATATATATATATAAATATATGTATGTATGTATGTATGGAAGTTAAAGCCACTAGGCTGTGAATAACGTCAATGCAATGCTAACAGCCTAAATATATATGCTTGCATAGTCGGCTCTTTTTCCAACATGGCAACTGTTTAATCTTTTCAGAAATATCAATTCAACCAACGATTAGGCACGGAATCTTACCTGAATCTGACTCGTCTGAGCTCTCTTTTTCCACCTGGCAAGGCTCTGATAGTGATGTAAACACCTGGTTCATCCTGCTCGACCCATTCAGTCTCCATATCACTGGCATTGCTGATGGAAAGCTCTCCTGAGCGATCAGCCTCCCTCGATGAGCTACTTCTTATAGATGCATCCATTGATGATGTTTCTGTCTTAGCTCCACTGATGCTGGAGAGTTTTGGGGTGGAGGTGAAACCAATAGAATCACAGTAATGACGGGCCTGCAATGGGTGATGGTCAAGTGAATCTGAGGACGAGTAGCCCATTGCCATTCCTGTTGGACGATACAAGTTACGGGGTAGCCGTTCTCTATTCAGTGGAGGTGTTACTGGGCTGTCTTCTGCAGATTCCATCTTTGAGCTCTGTAACAGGGTTCAGAGAATGACATGTTTAGACATCACAGGTGTTGTCAAAACTCATTTCCCAGTATAATAATACCACATATTGCTATATTGTGCAAGGAGATCATTCAATGCAAAACGTGTGCTGGCCCAACTGCATGTTTATTTGGTTAAATTGAATGTTGTTGCATCCAAGTCATACAATTTTGTGATTTGGCAACCTACTTTATAATGTCCCAACTGGCCATCTGAAAACACTGTACTCTGAATAACCATCCCTTTAGTTGTCAAATAAGGAAGGAACTCACCTCATCCTCGGATCTTGGGGGTGTTGGTAGTGGGAAAGCTTGGCGGTTAAACCTCTGGACATTGTAAAGCTCCATGATCCTGTCATAGTTCTCTGCCCACCATCTTTGAGCTTGCCACTTGTTAAACATGTCTCGACTAATCAAGGAGATTACAGCAAATTCAGAATCTTGATTTTCAAGAATTATCATGGAAACACTGAATTAGTATCGGCATCAAATGAGGTGGCGCATGACATCCATTTGGTAAAGGCCAAAATTAAAGCACTACGCGGCGATTGAGCAAAATACAATGTGAAATCTTTCATGGACATGAGGGGAGAAATCACTGTTACAAAAGGTGCTATTATCAGGATTAAGTGATAAAGATGAAATTTCCCTAAGGCTTGAACGAGGTCCTCTGACATTTTGCAAATAGAATAATCATTGAGTTTACATCATACAAGCTATAACCTGTTCACATGCCTACCGCTTCAAGCATCGAACCTACCATCAATTATAGTCTTATATATCTACTTCAATAATTATATAAGCCACTAAATTGGACACGAGGTACTTTTTGACACAAAAGAGAGCACCACGTATTTTAATAGCACTTAAAAGATTGTAAAATCTAACCTTCGGTGCTTAAAATGCATTTTAGGTAGCAACATTATTGAAGTAGAGGATATAATCAGTCAAAAGAATAAGGCTACTTTCCATGAAGAGAGAGGGGGCAGTGTTCAAAACCAATCCAGTGGAAATATTACAGGATATGACCAAGCAACAAGAAGAATTAATGGGATTAAGACACGTGTGTATTGGGATAACAAAGTCAAAAAGAAAAAAAAATCATCCAAGAAGAATGAACAGGGAGTCAAATGTAGGGTGTGGTCATTAAGGAGGGGAAACTACAGGGTAACCATCACAAGTAATGACCAAGGAAAATTCTTCATCTATGTCCCCTGTAATCCAAGAAAGGTCTACTTGCCTCTCCACTCTCCAGCCATTTTCCATGTACGGTGCCAACATGTGGCTCATTTGAGGGCCATAGTTTGTCCTCTATATTGGTTGAAGAGTGGCGGATGATGTGGCAATTTGCTAAAGTAAAAGTCAAATAAATGGTCACGTAAGGTGACAAAGTCACGGAGAATCAGGCTTCGGCGTGATGAAATACTTGTATTTTTGTTGAAAAAGAAAAGGGCAGAGCATTCTCCCGACACGACGACAATGCTCAGTGAAAAAGGATACAAACACAATCAAATCAGCCCCCACCACCACTAATGAGGCACAATGAGTTCCTCTTTTGGACTTTTATTGGATTGCTTTTCCAGTAGGCGTGAATTTTACTGTTGGGTTGTAGGCCCTACACTTATTCCGCCCTCCATTTGAACATAACAGGCAGAGGTGTCTAAGGTATTGTTTGGACGTATCTCCTTCCAAACATGGACTTGTCTTGCTTAATGATCCAAGTGGTTAAAACAAGATCACAAGGATTGTTGTCTCATATATTTCAATATTGCTAGCCTTTTAGGTTGATTTATTCAATAATCTAAAAGGGCTCTTGAAAAAATCAAAGAGCAAGCACATATTACTTCTCAGGAATACAAAATCAAAAGGGATTCACAATAATCAAATTACTAATAATGCACACCACCATATATTATTAGCAATTTTACCATTTTTCAGGGAAAAAATTTAAAAGATCTCAAAACACAATAACAGCAATCTCAAATTATAGTTGGAATCAGCTAGCTGTGTATGTATGCATCCTTCTACGTCATTTGATCTGCAAAAGCTTTTAAAACTTAATCTGCCTCATCTATAACAAAGCACACCCATCTAAAATTCCCAAGAAAATAAATTAATCATTATACCGGGGTAAATCAAAGTTTGTATCAAAGTTTTTAGATTAGTGGAAAATGTTTCAAGTATTAAAAAAAAGATTATTCAAAACAAAATAAGTCTTTGAGTTCGAATGTGCAAGCATTTGACATCCAAACAGCACCCAGCATCTTGGGCAAACATTTGTTTTTCGAAAAAAAAAAGAACCTCAAAGCATAACAGAATAAAAATAACAAAATTAAAAAAAAAAATCTAAAGTAACAGACTTCTCAGCCAATCAATGACGTGTCTAATCCACTAGCAAGCAGTTTGTTCCACACTCTCAGTCACCGTTACCCAAACAGTAACAAGGATACGGTTCTCACACAAAAATCAAACAATCAATCACATCAGAAACAAATCACCACCGCCCAATAAAAGAAATCGAGACCTACTTACCTGAAGCGTATCCGCTTGAGATCATTCCCTCCCCTTGGAAGCGAAACGAATGTGATGAGAACACCGGGCTCCACTTGTGCCACCCATTCTTTAGGTTCCTTTTCTTCAACGAATACTATTGGCGGGTCGACCCGACGCCCACTACCATTTACCGAATTCGGAGTCCCTTCGCCACTGGAGCTCGATATTCCTTTCAGCCTCGCCTCCATCTCCTTTCCCCACGTACGCGGTGTCGTCGAGCTCGAGCTTCCCGTCCGCCGCAGCGACCACCTGAATTTCTCTGATTCGGCGTCTGACTCAGTCGAGTTGCTCCTGAGTCGACTCTGAGTAGTTGTGTTTGGCGCCGTGCATGGGTTGCAGTGGCGGTATGCACCTGATGCCTTTAATGCCATGTCCTTCAACTGTAATAATTAAAAAAAAAAAGAGCATAATTAAAAATAAGAGCAATGGATTTTTGAACTTTCTGGTTTTTTTTTATTGGAAGTGTGGAGGTACCTGAGAAGTTAGGGATTTGATGGCTGCTTGTTGTTGTTGTTGTTTGGCTGCGGAGAGATGATGATTGGCGGTGGCGGCGGCTGAGTCGTCATCGGCTTGACTCAGTGAGTCATCACCGGGTTGTTTAGAACGAGCTATACACGTCAGCATTTTGAATTCTGCTGCAGGCAGACTGTGTATCACCAACAGATGCAACAGTTGAAAGGCAACATTCGAAATTCGGGGGAAAAAATCGGAATTATTTGATACAAATAAAAGCTGCCAATATTAAGATTCAATCGCTGATGTGTGTGTCTATATATATATATAAAACTCAGAGAAGTATCAAGTCCTTACAGTGTTTTTGAGAAATTAAGAATGGGAAATCGGAGAAGAAAGCAAAGCGCGAATGACGACTCAGAGAAGTATCAAGTCCGTACAGTGTTAGTGAGAAATTAAGAATGGGAAATCGGAGAAGAAAGCAAGGCGCGAATAACGAGAGGGGCCTTGAGTCCAGTGCTCATGCAGCGTTTCGTTCAATTGCGCGCTTTAAATAACACGATCAGAGATTCTCTGTCAACAATAATAAAACAAAAGGAGATAAAAATTCTTGAATTAAAAATTGCATGAACTCCTAAAGAAAAAAAAAAAGGAGAGGCAAGAGAGAGATTGGAATCACCTTGAATTGGAGTGGTAGGAGGACTGCATTTTTTGCTTGCATAAATATGGTGGTAGAGGGAACTAATCACCATAAAAAAGGGGTTGAAGAAGAGAGTGAGGCAGAGAGAGAGAGAGAGAGAGAGAGCTGTTGGTTTGTTGGTTGAAGCCTTGGCTTCTTTTATTTTCTTACTTCGATGCTCAGAGCCCTTAGCTTGATTATGTTTTGAGAATTGCTGTGCATTCAGGCCGCTGCCTCCTGTCTGTCTCTCGGATTCTTCAAATGCTCTTCTTCTTTTCTTCTGGCTATGGGAGATATTTATTTGGACTTGGCCTTGTGATCCACATTATGGGCTTCTTCATTTGTCTTAGAAGCCCATTTAACCCTCGTCTCGAATCGAATTCGAATACCATTTCTTTTGCTGATTGTGTTTTTAAACTCTTTTTTTCCTTCTCTTCAACTCGTACGAGGAAGATGGTGTGCACAAATAGACCAAACATGTGCATCATGCACGAGACTCTTGCTTGCGACCTTTCATGTTAAGGATTGTTTCTTTTGGAGATACTGAGAGGTCCAAATCACTCCATATATCAAGCTCGTACCACTCTTTTGTTGGAGTTTGGGCAGGGGACATGGATGGCTATTTTACCCGGTATGAACCAACATTTAGAAGTCACTCCCTACCTCTTTCTCTAAATTTACTCATATTCAGCTTATTTTCTTTTTCTAAGACTATACATGATTGGTTTCGAAAATTAATGTGTCTTTTGATATCATTTTCGTTTTCTGTTTTTGTTTTCATTTTTCTTTTATTTCTCATATTCAAGAATGCCAACTAGTTTTTTATTTTATTTTAAAAAAATACATTTAGTTTTTATTAGATTTTCAAGTTATCAAGAATAATACTTAAACTCTCCAAAATCAAAACTTAATTATTTTTAACTTAGTCTTATGGTGTCTCAAAACTTAATTATTTTTAACTTAGTCTTGTGGTGTCATAGACCAAACTCCGATTCAATACCTTAAAACCCTGTATTTAATTTTCAAGAATTAAAACTAAACCCTAAATACTATATTTGATACTTGTTCACTCTATAAACGCTCTGAAAATAATTATGGCTCTGACCCCAAACACCATGGACTTGATTCTAGCTAAAATTGAATCCTAATTAAAACTAAACCCTAAATACTATATTTAATACTTGTTCATTCTATAAGCGCTCTGAAAATAGTTATGGCTCTGACTCCAAACACCATGGACTTGGTTCTAGCTAAAATTGAATCCCGACATGAACATTAAACAATACAAGCCTAGTCTTGTCTTGATTTTTAAGTGTTTATGTTCAGTTTTTGTATTATGTCTAACTCTAAATACCCCAATAATGGTTCTTGATCAACTCCTAAATGTCTCATACCTTGGCATTAGTCACAACCTGAACCATATAAGTCACATACCATAATTATTAAACCCAGACCAGCCTGGCGGGTAAACCCAAGAGTTGGACCGGTCCGGGTTTGTTAAAAGATCGGTCGGTGGAACGATTCGGCCAAACCCGATCGACCTGGCAGGTCAACCCGAGACCCGGGCGAGACCTGATATTTTTTTTTATTCTTCAAATATGGAATTTGAAACCTATTAGTATGTATACTTTATGTTTCCAAGAAAAAAGTTTTATTTTTTCAATGTAGAATAAAAAAAAATTATTTAAATATTTCAACTTAAGAGGATAATATAATATCTTTTTAATATGAGATTTGAAACCTATTAGTATATATATTCTATGTTTTCAAGAAAAAAGTTATTTTTTTTAATGTTGTATTTGAAACCTATTAGTATATATATACTCTATGTTCATAAGAAAAAAAAAATTATGTTTTTTTCAATATAGGATTTGAAGCTCATTAGTATGTATATTATATGTTCCCAAAGAAAAAATTATATTTTTTCAATGTGGGATAAAAAAAATTATTGTTTAAATACTTCAACTTAAAAGCTTAACATAATACTTTTTAACGTGTGATAAAAAAAGAATTTAAATATTATTTTAAATTTTATTTATCTACAATATGTATAACATATATTTACATTGATTTTTTTAATTTTTTAATATAAAATATTATAATTATAATTTTTTTTATTTTTTTCTGTTATTCCGGGTTGACCCATGAAACTCGAGACCCATATCCTTGGCCTGGTCAACCCCCGGACCGAGTTTAATAACTCTGTCTCAGACTCAGTTAAAAAAAAACCTTTTAAATTTCCAACTACCATTATGGTAACTGGATTCTTGGTAGGTAGACATAATGTCGTTTATTTTATTTTTTTTAAAAAAAAAGGGTAGATAATTCGTTGTTCACCTCTTAAAAAACAAAAAACAAATTAAAAAGCCTAAGCACACGAGCCAAAGATAGCAAACCCACATATTTGGACTTTGTTGTAAAAGTGCAAACCAGCACATTGAGTTTTTATTAGATATTTTGTTTTGATTTTATTATTTAACATTTGATTTATTGTGAATCATTCTTCATAACTTATTTTATTTTATTTTATATAGGATTATCGTGGTCTCAAACAAATATCTCAATATTTGATTGATGTTTAATTTTTTTATATTTATTTTTGTTGTTCTATAATTAAATAAAGAATAGTTAAAAAAAAAAGGTCATTAAACCAAGTATGTTGTTATTGATTAATTGAGATTTGGGGTTCTGTTTCAGCTTATTTTTTATATGATTATTATGTTTTTAAACAACCAAGTATGTTGTTATTAATTAATTGAGATTTGGGGTTCTGTTTCAGCTTATTTTTTATATGATTATCATGGTTTTAAACAAATATCATTATATTGTGTTAGTGTTTAATCTTTTAAATGTCTGAAATATCATTATATTGTGTTAGTGTTTAATTTTTTAAATGTCTATTTTTTTATTATATGATTAAATAAAAATAATTTAAAAAAATAAAGTTATTAAATCTAATAAAATTTAAGATTGGGATCGTGAAGTTGGTAAATTAAACCATAAAATTCAAGATGATTTAATATGTTATAATCTCAATATTAAAAAAAAAATATTATCTTAATTTTTTTATTAAAACATGTAGTTTGAGTTATCTTTATGCTCATTAATTACACAACTTCTAAATAATCTAGCTTCAAATATGGGTTGAATAAAGTCTATTTAATCTGATCTAATGATATTGTAAAGGGTTTAATCGTGACTTAAATAATTATTTTTGCTTTAAAGAAAATTTTAATCTAAGCAGGCCAACTATAAAGTGTGGATTTTCTAACTGACTAAACCTTCCAACTATAAAGTATGGATTTTCTAACTAGACGAAACCTTCTCTGTATGGCCCTCTTTCTGTTGGGCGATTATCATTCAAGTCCTGTTGACAGCAATTTGACGGTGGCAGTTTGGGAGCCCATCAAGTGGCCCAGTAACCCCAGGCTTTAAATTTAACTTCCCTAGACAAAGATAAACATTTTCAAGCCCGTTAACATGCCGAAGAATGTCGGCCGAATTAACTGCTTCGTCAGCATCTGATGTCGGCAGCGTTTTGGCTGGTTAGAATGGCACGACAGATTAGTTGATAAAGCCAACACACTTCGTTGACTTGTTTTTAGAGGAAACAGGGTATCTTTGTCTCTGACGGCGTCGTGTTCTGTCTTGTCATTTCTCAGAGTAGCTAGAATAAAAGAAATGTAGTCTTTTTTTAAGCCTAGAGTGATGGAACTTTTTTTTTTTATTAATGTAAAATTAAAAAAAATTAAAGAATTGTTTTTTTCAGCCTCACTCCTTTAATCTTAAAATTAGGAATTTTAAATTTCAATCTTTTTATTTTTTTTCTTACTAATTTGACCCTTTCATATTAAAATTTCTAATTCCCTCACATAATTATAATATTCATTAAGGATCGACATGAATCTAGCAAGTGAAACAGTATTTTTTAGACTTCTTTCGATATTTTTGCTTATTTTAAGGAAGCAAATGAATGGAATTACAAATATTTATTTACGGATCATTGCTATTTAATTTTGTTAATAATTGATTCTTCATTGTGTTTTTCAAATAATAAAGCATTACTAAAATCATTTATTTTTTATGGTTGAGACTGAGTTTTATATATAGATTCCACTAAAAAAACTATAAAAGTTAGAAAAATATAGTTTTTATAAGTGAATTTCTTATATAATTAGAGTATATTCAACATCAATTTTAACCTTAAAAAAATATATTTTAATTTATTTTTTTACCATATAATTTTAAACAGTGATTTTTTTTTTAAATATACAAACGATCCTTATGGAGGTCCAACTAGCGTTAATTTATGGTGTAAAAACTTGATACCATACTAACTTTTATAGACAATTGATTAATATTGACTCCACAATAAAATAATCAGTTGAGTTTTGATATCGATCTAAAAATACTTTATTGATTTATTTCCGACCAGCTTGCATGGTCACGAGCCATATTTTCCTTTTTCACTTTATAAAATTATTAAAAAATATATATTTTTAAAATTATCTAAAAAGGATTAGTCAAAAATATATTCATCATATTAATAAATTAAAAACAATTGTTACAAAGCTATTAATTTTGAGTATGTCTATAAACTGGTATGATAAATTTGACGGCTAATTTAGTGGTTGATTGTGCATTTGATTTGTTAAGGTTTATATTAAGTTTGGAATTGCAGTTTAAATAAATAATAAAAATTCAATTTATTTTATTTAAAATTATTTTTTAATTATTTTTATTTTATTTAAAATTATTTTTTTAGTGGTTGATGTGCTGTATTAAAAATATTTTTTTAATATATTTTCTAGAAAAAACACTATAAAAAAAATATAATTACCACACTCTCTAATCACCCTCAATATAGCTAAGTTATTAATTAACTATTTTTAAAGTCTATGTAACTGGCTAAGTAATATATATATTATAATATATTACCTTTAATCTTGTGGTCTAGAATTAACAAGTTATTTGTAAAATTATTGTCCTAAGTATTCAAAATTAAATATTGTACCTTGATATTGTAGAAATTTATTCATAATTGAACAAAATACAAAGAAAGGTTAGTATGGTAACCTCTGATAAAAAGAAATTCTCTTAACCCCTTTTAGCTAGGTATAATATATGTTTTTGTTTCTTTTGCCTTTGCACGCACTTCGGATTAATTAGCTTGTGGTATCCTTATACTTTTGTAATTCTTTTAATATCATCTTTCATCAAATAATTTTCTTAATCTAAACCCTTTTCTTATCTTCCTTGCACAAAGGGTTCTTGTTTTTTGAATCTTATATATTAAGACCCTAATTGGAAGGGCGGTTGAAAACTTCCTAGCA